TTTGGAAAAAGTGAAGCAGAAGAAATAGAGATGAGAGAAGCATTAATCAAAGGCCTGATCCAGAAAAAAACACAAGAGAGACTAATGCAGCTCCTAAATACAAAGGCAAGACAGTGGTTTATAGAGACAGTGGCAAAAACAGCATGGAACACATTCTATGAACAAGTTTGGAGAATACAGTACAAAAAGGTCAATGAATGGGAGAAGAAAGAAGACATAACAACCAAAATAAAGAAAAAGGAAATAAAGAGGAAGAATCCAAAAAAGAAAAGAGAGCCAAATCAGCAGAAGATGGAAGAAGAAAAGAAACAAGCAAAAGAGAAAAAAGATAGAATTAATGAAGAAGTTAGGAAGACAATGTTGGGACTTGTTATAGAAGGAAGGAAACCCTTCCACTATAGACTTTAAGTAGTTAGACAAGTGGCCTACTTTTGTTAGAGATAGTGCAGCAGGTTGCACTTAGGTATCCTAGAGGTGGCTGGGTGATGCTAGACTTAGTTGTTAGGTAAATCTATATAATTGCAAAAATAATTTCAAGGATCTTAATAAAGTACTAGTGTGACTGCTTAAGTAAAAAAAAAAAAAAAAAAAAAAGCCTATTCAACTATTTTTAATAACCTTTAATATAATATTACTAATATGTATATAGAACTTTATTTTTTTAATATTATTTAAACAACCTATTACAACTATTAGCTACACATTTTAGCAATATATTAAATCCCAATTAAAGGTAAACCTTTTTGTTTTGAATATAATTAGCTATTTGAATGATGATACTATTCACAATGGCTTCTGATCTGACTATTACAAGTTTGCATAGAAAAATGATCTACTATATAGAGATGGACTGTTATGATACAGCATAAAAACTTAAAATATTGTAGGCTTGGCATAACTTTAAGCTAGCTGGGCATTTTAAAATAACCAAAACTATTGAACTAGAGATTATTAATAGCCTAATCTTTAATTTTTATATGAAACTACATTAGAACATATGATATATGTGCTAGATCAAAGGTGCCAAGACATTGTCCTTATAGAATACTGATGCCTTTGCCTATTTTGTCACACCAATAGCAATCCATATTTATAGATTTCATAACTAACTTATCTAAATCCTCTAATTTTGACTTGATTTTAGTAATGGTGAATCACTTAACAATGATGGCTTATTTTATCACTTGCTATAAAAACATTACTGCTAAACAAACTGTCTAATTGGTGATATTAAAGTAGTTTATCTAAAGGAATACCTAAAGAAATTGTATCTAACAAAGGTTTACAATTCACTTCTTGATTTTGGAAACAGCTTTTTAACCTTCTAAGAGCAAAAATCAATTTATTATCAGCATAGCATTCACAGACAAATGGGCAACATGAGAGGATTAACTAAGTGCTAAAACAATATCTTAGATGCATCATTAATTATCATCAGGACAATTAGGTTGATCTTCTATCCTTAGCTAAATTTTCATACAATAACTCTATACACTTATCGACAAAAACTACCTTATTCTTAGCCAATTATAAATTTTGGCCATGATTTGATATTTAAGTGCCTTTACTATCAACTGTACTATTAGCCAAGAATAAGGCAGCTCAATTACTTAAATTAAGAAAGAATTTATATAGAAATTGAGAACTGCACAAAATTAATATAAATAAAAGCTGATCAATTATAGCAAAAGCCATCTGTGTAAGGATGTAAACTTAATTAAAATTATTTGGTATTATAAAATCAAAAATCACAAAACAATAATTTTTTAATATATTTAATTACTAGATTTATTGCAAAAAACAAAAAATAATTATTGTATTATTTATGCTAAATGTATTGTAAAATATAATAAATAATTTTATCATTATATTTATTATATTATACTGCTAATACTCCACAATGATAGCAATAAATTCTTTATATAATAAAGTTTTGTGCCATATTACTAATCTAATTGCAACTCAAATTCATGCCACATTACTAATCTAATTGCAACTCTAATTCACTATTTGCTTCGAACATCCTAGTTATTAAATCATTTGTACTATAATTGAATGAATTTGAATTTTTAAATATTACTACTATGTGACCTATTAACTTTCAATTGACTGTCAGTTTCGATTGATGAATTTGTAATATCGATAACTTCTGAAATTGTAAGAGTATCAGTTTGTTCAATAACTTCTGGTAAAGCAATTTCTTGATCATTGATAGAAAAAGCCCTTGAAGGTTTGATGGTAGAAATTCTTGAATGTTTAAGGATGAAAGTTTTTGAATGTTTGTTGGTGAAAGTTTCTGAGTATTTGGTGATAAAAGTTCTTAATTTGAATAGAGTAAAAATTCATCAATATCCGAAATTACAGTCTTATTTACTGAATTTGTTAGTTTCTGTTGAGTTAAATCTTTTCTATAATGAACCAATTCTTTTTTAATATTTGTTAAATAATAAGACTGAATTTTTGCCATTGACTCAACATTATGAATATCAAGCCTATATCGATTATCTCTATAAATCCATCCTAATGTAGAAAAGTTCCTTTCACATCCAGCTTGAGAGGGCATTATTAAAAATAGTTTAGTTGCAAGTTTAACTAAGGGTTGATCATCATTATCAAATGTAAGTCACCAATTAAGAGGTGTTTCACTTTCTTTTTTATATTTCATATCAAAGGGATCTTTATTTTATTTATATTTTCTAAGATCAGCTAATAAATTTGAACATGAATACTCATCATTTTCCAGAGCTTTCCAACAATTAGTGGCAACTTCACAAATCTGTCTGAATGTTCCTGTTTTTAATCCTAAGCCATGGTAACTAGGATGCAAAAAATACTCAAGTAAATATATATCACATCGAATTCTTTATATCTATGATTAAAAATAGTAATAGCATTATTTTTAAGAATATTTTCATTAGATATTCGACTAATTGCAATTGCTAATTTTATGTATTCAATATAACAATCAGCCATTGTTGCAATTTTTGATTCCACAAGATTAATGGCTTCTTTAATTGGCTTAAAGATCTCAGACACTATTTTGCACAATTGAAATAATGTTTTATTTTTAATGTAATTCGATATATTTTCATTAGTTAGTACAATGGAATGTTCACGTTTAATCTATAGTATATAAATAATAAAAGTTATATATTATATATTAATATATACATAAATAATATCAATAATTATAAATTAAAATACCCAGTCAAATATTGGGCAAGCATGTAGTAAAAAATCTGTTGAATTCAAAGTGAACACTAATGTGTTTTACTATACAATTTTAAAGTACCACTCTTAATTTGTAAGTTTGTCAATCCTTCACTTAAAATAGCATTTGTGTGATGACTTTTATTAAAAAATCCTATAATCTCATTACTTTGAGAAATTAACTTTCCAATAGGTTTAATTTTTACTAAATCTGTAGTGATTAGATTTAAAGAATGTGCTGCACATCGAATGTTTAAAATATGTGGATATTTTTGATTAATTATTTGTCGTGCAACTCTAACATTACTACCTCCATCAGTTACGATTCCAACAAATTTATTTACTCCTATATTAATTATAATATTTTCGATTTCATTTGCAATAAAGATTCCTGTTTGTAAATTTTTGAATAATCTTTAAGTGCAATAAGATATTTATGCTGATCTGTGGTTGAAACTATGTAATTATAGATTGAATTTCTAGTTGGTGATGATCATCTGTCAAGAGCAAGTGTTAAAAAATTATATTTTTTTAATTCAGCATCAATCTTAAGATTAATTCTTGCAACTTCCTGTTCTAATAACCTATTAGAAAGTGTTATTCGACTAGGTAAATCATATAACAAATTAAGATGCTTGAATAAATCAATCATAAATGGATTATTAATAATATTAAATGAAGAGCCTGTCATGACCCAAGCTTTTAAAATAGCTTTGTCGATTTCATTTTGCTCATATTGTGGCAAGTTATGTTAATTTAATTGTCTTTGATTTAAACTTTTCATTCACTTATAATTAACAATTTTGGTTGAAAGTAATTCTTGCCAATATGTTTTTATATCTATAGGAACATCAGGACAGATATTCGCAAGCTGGGCTTCCATTTCTCCAGGGTGTCCACAACTCCAATACTTTGAACAATAATGACAAGTTGCACTACGGTCACCAACAACATTGCTTGCAATATAATAATCCCAAATCTTTTCCCTTGGTCGACCTACACTTTTTCATTTTAATGTTTTATTTTGTTCCACTGAACATGTATCGGGTTGAGTTAACTGGTTTGACATCTTTGAAGATAAATTTGTAGAAGTCGATTCATCAATCATAAAATTGAAAATATTTATTACGGCATAATTTTAATTACTATCGCAATCAATACCATTGTTTAAACTAATCATATAATTATTTTATTAAATTATGTAATTTTATGTAATTTATATAATTTTCACTTTAATAATTCTAAATTTAAGTATGATATACTATAATCTTTATAATTATCAAAACAATAATATTTTCAAAAAATAAAATTATTTTAGCAATTAAATTTAATTAAGTTTATATCCATACATCTGTGTTTAAAATCAATAACTAAATTTGGTTAATAAGAAGAAACATCTGTACACAACACTTATCGGAGAAATTGAATTATTAAAAATTAGGGTCTTATAAGATTATAACTCAAATTAACCCTGTAGCATATCATCTAGACTTGCCTCTTTTACTCAAAATCTATAACATGTTTATATATCTCTCTTGGAACCATATATAGCCAATGACATTCTTAGTAGACACAAGAAGCTCTCTCTTTAGTAATAGTAAATAGTAAGATAGAATACAAGTTTGAAGAAATACTTGACTTAAAACTAATTTAAAAGAAACTACATTACCTAATTGAATAGAAGAACTGTAACCCAAGTAAACATTCATAAAAGCTGTTGAAAACATTGTACATGCTAAAGAAGGAAATAATATTATAGTTATATAGACAGGCTATTCTAGTTTGTAACCTAAGCCCAACTTAAGTCTGTGACTCAAAATAACTTAAGCCTATAACCCAAGCCTGTGACTCAAGCCTATATAACTCAAGATGACTTAAGTCTGTAACCCAAGCTTAACTCAAGCCATGACTCAAGCCCGAGACCCAAGTTAGTAACTTAAGTCCAAAACTCAGATCCATTATAAACTCAAGACCTTATGCATATAATAAATAAGTGAATAAGATTAGCAATTTGTAATACAGTCTACTCTCATTTATATTAACCTATTTGAATTAGTTTTAAATTATGATAATAGTAATATTAACAAGAAATTATATTAAAGTTGATATATATAAGAGAATTTTAATATATAAAAATTTATAAAAAATTGATTTGTGACTTAGGTTAATATTAATGAGGTTGATACTAATAGGGGTCAACTGTATTAATAAACAGTACATTAAGTATATAGTCATAGTTTTGTAATATCTAAGTAGTTTTATAAAAATAATTAGTAATTAGTAATAGGAAAATTACAGAATAAAAGAGAAGAAAAATGTGTACTTAGCTCTCTAGTTTGTTCAATAAACAAATCTTCAGTATTTGGTACTTAATATTTTGTTATTTGGTATTGCATTCTTGAATTTTGTATTGTGTCTTTATTATAACATGTCTAGTTAATTGATCTTGTGTTGTAACACATATTTACTTAAATAATATAGAACAAACATTACCAAATTAATTAAAATAGATTCTTCCCTTTATAAAACATACAGCCATCTACCTTTATTATCTATTTCTAACTAGAAAATATCTGATACAAATTTTGCCTTCTTCTTTATATCTAATTAATTATCTAATCTAAACACTTCTATACCATTTTTAATTATCTTATTAATAACCTTACTTAAACATATCTCTTTTTTAATTAAAATTGGCTTAATAAATATTAATTGACTCCCACAAGCTAATAAAAAGCTTGTCTTAACTAAACTCTTACAAGAAAAGAATTTTAAAATTTTTTGACTTTCTAAAACACACCTATTTTTCAAAGAAGACAAATTTTTAAACAATCAAATTCAAAACTATATTAATTTTTGGAGCTTATTCACAAATCCTTATTAAGCCAGAGTCAGTATTTTTGTTAACAAAAAATCTCCAAATATTGCCAAGTCTCATAATTTTAATAAACATATAATCAGTCTTGATTTTCATTTTAAAAATATATCAATCAGACTTATTCAAATATACTTCCCAACTTATAAAAAAAACAACTTCACAAAAAATTTCAAGATTATTCAATTTTTTTTATTCAAAATAACAAATACAAATTAATTATTATAAAAGATCTAAACAGTGTTTCAAATTTAAGAATTAACAGATCTTCTTCAAAAAAATCATCAATTCCTAAAAGTCAAATTATTCAATATCTAATCAGCTCTTAATTCAAAGATATCTTTTAAGTTTTTTTTATCCAAATACTTATAACTTTACTTTCAGTCATAATAATATACAAAGTCAAATTTATCAAATCTGAACCAATTTATTCATTACAAATATTAATTATACTAAAATCCTTGCAACTAGCATAATCAAATTAGATCATCACATTATAACTTTAGAAATCTATATTATATTTAATAAATCTAAACCTTATAAACAACACAAATACAAAGTTTTTCTTTAAAAGAATTTTACTAAAGAAAATCTTGAAAACTATACTAATTAAATAATCAAAAATCTTTAACGCTTAGTTTCTAAAATCCTATTATTTAAAAATCAAAATCAACTTAATATTATATGCAATAAAATTTACAAAACACTAATTAAAGCTTTAACTAAATATATTCTTTTTAAAAAAATCAAACTAATTAAAGAAATTAAAGACTCACCTTCATCAAAACACTCTTCACTTTATTTCTGTTATAAAGAAATACAATTTTTTAAAAACTATATAGATTCAATTAACTTTAATATACTACTCATCAAATATCAAACTAAATACTTAAACTGCTCACTTCAAACACTTTTATTTTTCTTGGCTCAAATTAAAGAAGAATTTCAACTTATTAAAACTGTACTTAATTACTAATAACAACAATTTATATATAATAATATTAAAAAAAAAATAGAAGATTGAAACTAAACATTTAAAAAAATACCAAAACTTTTTTATAAAAAAATACATGAAAAATACAATAATATTTATATTGATAGATTACTTCTTAACAATAATTTTCTTACAGAATATGAAAAAATACTAAATAAATTAAACATCACTTTACTGAATATTTTAAAACCAATTCTCTTAAAACTATTCTATCATCATCAGAATACTTTTCACTTTATAAATCACATTCTGAATTTGAAATTAATTATCAAAATCTTATTTATGATATATTTGAACAAGAATAGCAAAACCTAATTCCTAATTTATCTAATTAAAAAGCAGCAGAACCTCTCAAAATCTACTATTAGCACATAAAATTTGTTAGTTCTAAAGTACAAAATAGTTTTTAATTCTTCTTAAACAAATGCTTTCAACTTTAAATAATCTTTTTAGACTAAAAATCTTCCAATATTTTTTTAATTCCTAAAAAATCAAACTGGGATTATACACTAAATCAAGTTCTACTAATCTCTATAATAGAACCTTTTAAAAAAGTCTTTACTAAATTATTTACAAACTGACTGGATAATATTATTTCAAGTCACAATCTCTTATCAAACTTAATCTTTATAGTTACCAAAAACTCCTTGACTTATCTTCTTATACAAATTTTACATAATACAATTGAACATTACAAAATTAATAATAAAAAAGTCTGGATTCTCTTTCAAGATATGTCTAAAACTTTTGATAAAATTAATATATTAAGACTTCAGAGCACATTCAAAAGATAAAAATCTCTTTAACAGAGATTAACTTTATTACTGAACTCCACTTTTATTACTTTGCTAGAGTAATTACTACTCATAGTTTCACTTTACTAATACTAATTAATTTTGATATTGAACAAAGCAAAACCTATTTACCTTTATTATAGAAAATTTATTATAATCATATACTCTCTTTTATTCACAAAAAATACAAAAACCATCTACTCAAAATTTTATGCCAATCTCCTATTAATATCATAACAAATACAACATTTTTTCCAATAATAATTCTACTATTGGCCTTTATAAATAATACTACCTGGCATTGTGAAAGTGCAAGTATAATGCAAAATATTATAAATAATACTTCTATATTATATAAACTTAATAAAATAGAAATTAATACTTTCAAATCTGACTTTCTTTATATCCAAATTCTTAACAAACTTAACTCATTTTCTTACAATAAGCAATCAGATTATTTTTTTAAAAAACCTTAAGATGTAATATGTTATTTTGATATCTTTTATGATGATAAAGGTTCTTCTACATTAATTCTTAATCAAATTTAAAATAAAATTGAAAATTTTTTTTATTCTTATTCAATACAAAAAAGTAATACTATCACAAATTTCAGTATTTTTTAACCTAATTTTACAATATTCACTAGAATATTTGCTTCAAATTATTCTAATTCATGCAAATATACAATCTAAATTTATCTGTTTATTTATTATTTATACTAAAAAATGCTATCACTAGCCAAAAACAATAACAATATAATGCTTACCAATCTACTTACTTTTAACTTACCATCCTTCAATACTATTATTCAAAGAGTTAGTGCAATTAATATTGAATGTATTTTTAATACAATACCAATTCTCAAAACATTGATATACATTTAATTAAAGGCTGGCTAACTAAAATATAGTCTCCTCAACTCTTAACTAATATTTTAGTTAATCACTATTGTAAAACACAAAATTATACTTTAACTACAGTTGCACTTGATACCATTCATCTTGATTATTTTTACCAAAAGTGTCCTAAAAGCTTTGTTATTGGTATTCTTGAAGATGCAGCTAATACATTATGCCCCATTCCTGCAAACAAGCAACCAAATAATTGTATAACTACAGAACTTAGAGGAGAAACTAAAAGTTGTTATTACTTTAAGGCACCTGAATCTAGTTCTATCATTACATGCTTCTGTGCCAAGTTCTACACCCACTTTATCTTAACTTCAAACCAAATCTACAAACAACATGAAGCTATTCCTACCAACAAAAAATCTAAAGATAAAAAATCTTTAGCAAACAACATCACAAATTCTACTGAATTTATCCCACCATCA